TCTGGGATTACAAAATGTCCTTCCCCAGAGCTCCCAGTCCCCTTATGCTGGGCAAGGTTGAGTTGCCGAGACTCCTCAGTTTGATTTGAACGAAGTGGCTGTGTTGCTGGGGGCCTTTCGAAGACCTGCCCTGCTTCCACGGAGGTGGAGTCGGGGACCCTGAGGCCAGTGGGCCAGGTGGACGCCATCCTCCTTATTAGGACGCTCAGCTGCTCAGGCCAGCAGCCCAACCAAGGCACGGCCGGGGGCATTTCTAGCAGGACAGGAATGGGGAAGATGCTGCAAGCTGGTGAGTAGCAGCTGAGGAAGAACTGGCTGGGTTTCTTTCTCTTTCGCCCACAGGTCTCCCGGCCTGACGGCCATAGCCTCCTAGCGGTAGCAGGAAGATGTTTACAGAGGCAGATATCTGCTCTGCCTTTAGAAGCCTTTGTTCCCTCTTCTCCTGTTTTATCTATGGCTGTTGTATTTTTGTACTTTTATTACTGTATTTCAAGTTGCTCCGAGTCACCACTGGGAAGAAACATGGAGTGTAAATAAATAGGTAGAAGCGATCCCTTTCCCGTGGTGTCAACAGCCACCCAAGTCTGGCAGAGCCCTCCTCTTAGAAGGCCACTCCTCTGCCCACTCCCAAGCTCACAAAGAGGCAGAACCAGCTGCTGACACTGGGGCGGAGGAGCCCTTGGCGGCCAAGGCTGCTGGGCCCAATTCCAAAGAGACTTTTGCCCAAGCCTCTAGGAATGACAGAATCCATGGGCCCAAGCAATGTTGTTGACCTTCCAGGTGTTGCTAAGTTAAAAAGTGACCCCTGTTAAAAACCATTTACTAACCAGCACCCTATACGAACTCAAGCTGGTCCACCAGGGGTTCAGGTAGAAGATATCTTGTTCTAAAGCTAGAGGGCAGTGGTGAGGAGGGAACTTCATAAAAGCCCCAAAAAATCATGACATGCACTGTTTCCACATGGGATTTCCCCCCACATGGAATGTAGGAAATCCAACTATTAAATGGGAACATTCACGTGATGTTATGCTTATTCTGAGTGTAACTCGTGAGCTTTCCGGGGTTTCCCCCTTTAAAGTGAGTCAATAATAAACCTACTTTGAACAAGTTCAAAGGGGGGAAATGTGAGGCGGCTGCAAGTGGCCTGTTCATCTGGACCCTTTTTTCCTGTCACCTCCATGGGGCAATTCATGGCTTGGGTCTGCCTCCCCTTCAGCCCTTTAAAGGACTTTTCTCCACTTTCTCTGCTGAGTCATCCTGTAGCCATCTGGGGCCCAGAGCACCTTCGCATTTGCAGCTTTGCACAGGCGTGTGGCAGAGGAGCACCTACTTGCCCATCCCTACTTGGCTTTGAGCACACAAGCACGGAAAGCATACCAGCGCAAGACCCCTGCATAAGCCGCAGATCCCTCTCCACTAATATACAACCCCTGTGGTAATGATGCATCGACATGAGTGTGCAGGGTTATGTATCAATGCTATGCAAGGGAAAGCGACACCGAGAGCGCTGCAGCTTAAGAAGAAAGACGGGGAAAGAGATGCTTACCTCAACTGCAATGCTAGAGGAAGGCACCGGTGTGTACTGGGGGATGTAGGCTCCTTGCATAGCTGCTGCCGCTGGCATATACTAGAAGAACAGACAGAGAAAAGATGTCAGAAGGGTGGCAAGAAATATGGGGAGAAGCTCCCCAAAGAGGTGATTGGGGGGGGGGGGAGAGAGAAATAGGGTCCTTACTGTGCCAGCACTGCTGAGAGACAGATGGCCCAGCTGCTGGGTTAGGGGCCCCATCATGGAGGTGGGCTGGATGGAAATCGCATGGTCCATGGCTGGGGTCAGCACTGTCCCCTGCTTAGCAACAAAAATAGCAAGAGGGAGGGAGGGAGGGGGAGAGAGATGTTAGAAAGACAAGTAGGGCAACAAAGGGATGTGACTATCAAACGCATTAGGAACTACATCAGCCCTTCTCCGAAATGGCAGGCTGCTGCAGAGGAAGCGTTCAGAACAAGTCTGCGGAGTTCTCTGGCAGTGATGTGTCAGTAAGAAGTGCTAACAACTGCAGGCACCCTGTAAGACCCAAGTAATACGTTCCTCTCACCCCGCCCCTCAGTTTTTTCCGCCTCCTCATGCTTAGCCTGCAGTAGGGAAGAGCAAATGTAATATCTGGGATCAGGGTATCCAGCAAGAGTACCAGGAAAGTTTTCGTAAGTAATGCTCAACTCACTTCTCTGAGTTCATCACTAGCATAACCCCAAGCTATGAGCACATTTGATTTTTAAAAAACTGTTCTCTGTTGCTTTCTGTCCTGCGCTCATGCGCGAAACAGTCCAAACTGACAAGGCCTTTCTCCATGGGGTTTGAGAAAGTGCCCTTAAACAAGGTGCTCAGAATTTGGGGGGGGGGGGGAGCAGGTCTCACCGTGGGCTGCATGAGGTACGACTGATGGTGCATCCATGATGGGCTGTGAACCTAAAAGCAGTACAGTAATAATAATAGTTAGTGTTTAGATAATGCAGTCCACACATACTGATCCTTACAACAGCCCTGACACATACACTATGCTGTTATCCCCCCCCCATCACTGATGCAAGACGGGCTGCGGACAAAAGATGCCAGCTGGCCCATTGGTTTGTGGCAAAGGTGAGAATTTAACCAGGGACCTGCTGGCTTGCAGCTAACAATCGTTCTAAAGGCCAAACGAGATCAGCTTGTTTACGGACACTTACATGTAGAGGGGAGGGGAAGGTTTGTGTGTGTTTTAAGTGTTTGAGCAAACAGGTCATGTGAGTGAAAGGAACTGAACGCTCCCTGTTCCTGCCTCTCACCTCCCCATAGTCCCTTCTAGTGCTCCCTCTAAGCTGTGGAGTCTTGTGAGCAAAAATTCTACTTTGTGAGCTACTGACATGAAAGTTGTGAGCGAGCGATTCGGCTACTGCATAAATTAGTTTGCTCTAGAGCCACCCTTCCTGAGCTAAGACAAAAATGTGTGAGCCGGAGGCTAAAAAACTGTGAGCTAGCTCACACTAACTCAGCTTAGGGGGAACACTGATCCCCTTCCTTTGCAGAAGCTGGAGCTCAGCTGAGAAGAAAAGCAGACGAGGAGGCTGTGGAAAGGTTAAGCCACTGATGCATGCTCCTTTGACTCTAAAAACCAGACTCCCCAGCATCTGCTAGGCCATAGGAGGGTTTCATGAAATGGGTCTGCCACCATCATGTCTCAGATGGCCTTCACTCACTATACTACACCCTCTGTTCATACTCCTGACTCCATATCAGTTTCTGAAGCAAATGCAAGCAGTGAGTTTTATTATTTATTTATTTATTTTCAAACTGCCCTCCCCTGCTCAGGGCAGTGTACATCAATACAGAACATACATAGATTAGATTCACGATTAAAATTTAAAGCTATTAAATACAGTGTTTAACTGAATAAGGACGCTAAAACCACCAGAACATGCCCCCGTCTCGGGGAGGGGAGGGGAGGGGAAGGAGGCAGGAGTGCCAGGCAGATGGGAACTGCCGCTGTCCTCAATCAAACGCCTGGCGAAACATCTCCGCCCTGCAGAACTGCATTGAGTCCCACAGGGCACAGGCGTTCTTTGGCAGAGAGCTCCATGAAGTTGGGGCCAGGGTGGAAAACACCCTGGCCCTGGTCAAGGACAGCTGGATATCTCTCAGGGCAGGGACCACCAGTAAGTTTTTAAATGTCAGGTACAACGCTCTTTGGGGGGCATACCAGGAGAGGCAGTCCCGAAGATACGTGGCTCCCAGACTGTTAAAGGCCTTAAAGGCTAGCACCAAAACCTTCGAACCTGGATCCAGTACTCCACCTGAAGCCAGTGTAGCTCACGGAGCACAAGCTAAATATGTGCTATGTGCGGGGTCCCCGTAAAGTATTTTATTAGGGCATATGGTCCATACAAATAAGTGTATTGATTCTTACATACAAAAGGAGGAGGATACATCTTCAGTTTCTGTATTCATTCCCAGCAGAGTCATCCCCTTGATTTCCCCTCTCATGGCTACCTAAGGCTTAGCTTGTCTGTGTGCGCGCGCAACAGATACCTGGTAGGAGGAAATGGGTGATGGAAGGTATGGGGAGAGCGCAGTCTGGGCAATCATCCTGTTGGGAGCCAGGCTGTAGGGTGTCGTGTAGAACCTGCAATGGGGGAAGGTGGGGAGGAAGAGTTAAAAGCCCTTCGCAAAGGTTTGGATTTCCCATATGCTTGTGTGCAGAAGTGATTCTTCTGGGTCTCTTTGAAGATGAACAACAGGCTATCTACTAACATACTTTTGATTAGGAAATGAAGGCACAGTAAAACAGAGGACATACCCATTCTGTAGCGCTGTTGTGGGGTCATAGGTCAAGGTCATCCCACCCTGCATGGAAACATCAAATAGAATAAGGCCTAGTTCACATGGGGGGGACTTGTGCCTCCTCCCATTCTCCTGAAACACCAGGATCCCAACTCCGGCATTTCTGCCAGTCAGTGAATACCTTCCTATGGACAAGTTGCAACTCTCATGCTAGCTAATGGAGAGGCTGTACCCACAAGCAGCCTGGCAGGAGAACTAGTGCAGCCAACCAAAGAGAAACCCGCCTAACCTCTGGCTCAAGTGCCAAAGAAATCCCTCTGTCTACCTGTGAAGGTGTTGGTATGCTTGCAAGGCAAAGGAGGAAGGAGATGAGGTCTGTACACACACTGGGGGCAACCTGAGGCCCAGAGCCACTGCTAGCCCCTCCGGGTGGAGAACCAGATGAGCTCGCTGAGCAAAGAGGTCTGCTGGGCCACAACCTGTGACCCACCAAACTGAATGCAACCCACCAAGCACGTGTATAAGGGAGCCTGCCAGGCGTGTGTGTGACAACCATCCCATTCTGCAATCCCCAAAAAGCAGCAAAAAGTTCAAATGAGAGGCCCACCAATTGCTATACATGGATGATGAGCTTCTCCCAAATGCTGATGCCCTCCTGCTCCTTAATACCTGAAGGACCGCTGAAAAGTACTGGGTTCGATACATCAGGACTCGGACCACGACATAGGCGAAGACGGGTGGCCAACTTTATACAATTGGGGAGGGACGCCCCTAGGTTCTATTGGCGGGTTTGAACTCCCCGCCAAGGTCCCTATTGGCTCCTTACTGGAAGTTCAGGAGCCTAGTCCCTATTGTCTCCGGGACTGAAGCTCTAGCTGCCTCTGGCTGGCGCCTGGCAGTGGTCTGAGGACATAACAACCACCTTTCCCCACGCATCCCCCAGAGAGCACTGAGGTCAGGGTCACAAAATCGTTTGGCCCTCCCAGGATTCCCCTGCTGAATCCACCAACTATTAGTCCATCCGGCAAGTGACAGGCAGCGCCGTAGCCATCCCTGCACAGGGATTGTGGGGCTTGGCAAACCACCCCAGGATTTATTCAGCCTCCCTCTCGATATCCTACCGCTGTTGGCATCTCTTTCTGTAGGTGCCCTTTCATCTGCCAGCTCCATCTCTGTCACTTCCTGGAGCTCCACGCAGGGCAGTGATTTCCCCAGCTCCAGCTCTGCTTTCAGTCCTGGGCCCCCTAACTCTGATGTCGTGCTGGGCAGTAGTTTCCACAGACCTAGGGTGCTCGCCTCCCTGAGTTCCTCTCATACTATCCCTGCAACCGCACACAGGCTCCCTGACACTGCAGGCAAATCAACTGGCATCACTTTGTCGGTTGGCTCAGTTGTACATGCTGGTTCTGCCTCTTCACCCAGGGTTGCTCTTCCTGCATTCAGCTCCTCCCCCTTAGCATTCAGCATTCTTTCTGTTAATGTTCCTGGAAAGCAGGCCTGGTCCCAATATATATATATATATATATATATCTCCCTTCCCTTACCGTGTCACTTTCCCGTGGCCAAGCCCGTCCATTCTGCACATATTTGCCCTGATTCTGACGCTTCTTCTGGCCGCCATCAGCAAATTTGCAAAGCAGTGGATCTGGGGGTGCTGCAGAGAAGAAGAGATTGGATTTATACCCCGCCCTTCACTTGGAAGTCTCAGAGCGGCTTACAAACTCCTTTCCCTTCCCCTCCCCACAACAGACACCCTGTGAGGTGGGTGGGGCTGAGAGAGCTCTGACACAAACTGCTCTTTTTCAAGGACAGCTGTGCCAGAGCTTGTGACTGACCCAAGGTCATCCAGCAGCTGCAAGTGGAGGAGTGGGGAATCAAACCCGCTTCTCCCAGATTAGAGTCCGCGCACTTAACCACTACACCAGACTGGCTCCAGAGGGAGAGGGAGAGGAGGCAGGGTCAGCACTGAGACTTGCTGTCTCTCCAAAATCCCTCTGACACGATAACTCTCAGTCCCCGCCAAAAGGCCACTTCTTTCCAGTGGGCTTGACCCCCCCCCATCTCCACTTTGTGCTCTCCCCCCTTAAGAAACCTCAGTTCTTCTGATACTTTTCAGCCATGGGCTACACCAATTCTGCCAGCTTTAAATGTGTGAAGGCCCCCAGCTGGCGGCCACATTTGCGCCTCCCACTCCTCGTCACGTTTCCTGCTGTCATGGCTAATCGACCTATGTTCCTTCTCTGATTCCTGAGGGGAGTCCCGGCCCGCCACAAACTGCTCCCCTCTCACCCACTCACCAGATCTTGTACAGAGTTCAAGAAATAATGACCCTTCTGCAGTTGCTAAACAGCTCTGAGTCAGGCTATCAGCCCCTCTCAGGACAAGCTTTAAGGGGGTACAGTTCCAATACAGTACAGCCGCAGGACTAAATGGTGTTTCTGGTATTAAACTGAATTGCCTACTACTCCAGTAGCAGATGGTAGACCTCTAGAGCTTCACCAGAGATGCAAAGATAGAACATTTCTCTTATCTGTACCCATATGAGTAATATCTAATAGTGGTTTCCAATGTAGTACTGGGAGTTTTGGGCTTGTGTACCACTCTAGTCTCTCTGGTCCACTCCTGGAGGCCTGCCTTCCCTCACTGTAGACACTTTTCCCCCAGCCTGGCTCCCATACTGGACGTGAAGCTGGCTGTGCAGAAAAGCGCTTCAAGCGAAAGAGCACAGGGAGGTAAAGTGGGACTGGAAAAGAAAGGCACTCTCTCATTTTCGATGTGAATGAGGGAGGTGCGTGACTAAAGAAGAGGGTGCCCCCTTCCCAGTCCTGTCTAGTGAGGACCTGGGTTCGACCCTTCTCCTTCATCTGTGCTGTTTCTCCAGGTGGAGAGTCTTTTGCCAGGAGAATTCAGACATGCAACCTGCCACCTGTGCTCTAAAGGCCCGATTACATGATACACTGGCCCTTTACACACGCACAGCTTATGGCAGAGAATCCAAGCAGTCAAGCCGTTAAGCTTGACTTCAGATTCTGTGCCTGCAGTATGCATCATCCCCCCCCCCCCCGGGCGTCCACAGCCCAGAATAAATACACTAGGTTTGAACTGGGCGGCATGAGAAGGCAGCCCAGCTGGGCTCACCGTGCATGTGGCGAGCCGATGGCTCCCGGCAGGTGCAGCTCAGCACTGCCTCCTCTGGCTGCCCGGTTGAAACTGGTTGGCCAGAGAGGATAGCCCGGCCGGCCTTGCTGTGCACATGGGGAGCTGATGGCTCCCGGCAGGTGCAGCTCCGCACTGCCTTCTTGTGCCACCTGGTTTAAACCAGGTGGCGAGAGAGGACAGCCCAGTGGGGAGTCATTTATTTTTCTTCACAAATGGCATGAGACTAGCGATGGTCTCCTATCGCTGGACTCATGCCACTTGGGGGGGAAACTAAATGTAGGTGGGGGAGTGGCCTATGAGGGATGGGGACAGGGTGGCCTTGACTTACCTTCGGCTTGGAAGCAAAGCAAGGGGGGGATTTCCATAAAACCACCCTCACTAAACCTGGGGAAACAGCGAACAGAAAGGGAACTGAATGCTGAAAGGAGGAAACAAAATGCAGAACGAAAAAGAAAACCCGGCAGACCTGCATGGCGAAAGTGAGGCAAAACACTCGCGCATTAAGAGCCCCTAGGGGTCTCCAGATTGTTCCCCCAGTCTGCCCCGGATCCTCTCAAGCAGAGATGGGCTAGGGATTCCTAGGTGAAACTTAAGATTCAGATCAAGGGAACTTCTTCCATCAGGACCACAGCACAAAGGAAGAGGGGCTTAAGCCTTCCTCACCATATGCCATTTCCCTGACCTGAAATGGCCCTGAGGAGCTATCTGCCATGTTGTAGAAACTTATGTGTACTGATGGGCTACATGTAAGTTTCTCCAGTGGAGCAAACAGTGACTCCCCAGGACTGTTTCAGGTTGGCAAAATGGTGCTAAGGGAAGGGGTTAAGACCCCCTCCCTTCCCTACATGCTATGCTCCAAATCCAAATTGCCCCCTACCAGGGCCGGCCCGAGGTGATTCTGCGCCC